TCCTTCCATCTTCCCAATACCTCTAACTCTCCATTTAATACCTCTCCTCTCCTATTTTTAACTGACAAATCCATTTGTTCTCTAGGCTTCCTTAACCTGTTAATCTCACTCCAAAACTTTTTCTTATTTTCAACAAAATTTGTTGATAACATCTCACCCACTCTCCACAAAGGGGGCAGTAAAGCAATAGCAAAGAACTACAGACCGATAGCACTAACATCCCATGTCATAAAAATCTTTGAAAGGTTCGTAAGAAGCAAGATCACCACCCATCTAGATACCCATCAGTTACACAACCCAGGGCAACATGGGTTTAGAGCAGGCCGCTCCTGTCTGTCCCAACTACTGGATCAGTACGACAAGGTCTTAGATGCACTAGAAGACAAAAAGAATGCAGATGTAATACATACAGACTTTGCAAAAGCCTTCAACAAGTGTGACCATGGCGTAATAGCGCACAAAATGCATGCTAAAGGAATAACAGGAAAAGTTGGTAGATGGTAGAGTAATAGTCAACAGAGTAAAGTCTGAGGCAGCTACGGTGAAAAGCTCTGTTCCGCAAGGCACAGCACTCGCTCCCATCTTGTTTCTCATCCTCATATCTGACATAGACAAGGATGTCAGCCGCAGCACCGTGTCTTTCTTTGCAGATGACACCTGAATCTGCATGACAGTGTCTTCCATTACAGACACTGCAAGGCTCCAGGTGGACATCAACCAAATCTTTCAATGGGCTGCAGAAAACAATATGAAGTTCAATGATGAGAAATTTCAATTACTCCGATGTGGTAAACATGAGGAAATTAAAACTTCATTAGAATACAAAACAAATTCCAGCCACAAAATAGAGCAAAAAACCAACGTCAAAGACCTGGGAGTGATCATGTTGGAGGATCTCACCTTCAAGGACCATAACATTGTATCAATCACATCTGCTAGAAAAATGACAGGATGGATAATGAGAACCTTCAAAACTAGGGATGCCAAGCCCATGATGACACTCTTCAGGTCGCTTCTTCTATCTAGGCTGGAATATTGCTGCACACTAACAGCACCTTTCAAGGCAGGTGAAACTGCTGACCTAGGAAATGTACAGAGAACCTTCACGGTGTGCGTAACTGAGATAAAACACCTCAATTACTGGGGGCGCTTTTAGTTCCTGAACTTGTACTCCCTGGAATGCAGGCAGGAGAGATACATGATTATATACACCTGGAAAATCCTAAAGGGACAAGTACAGAACTTTCACACAAAAATCACTCACTTTGAAAGCAAAAAACTCGGCAGACGATGCAACATCCCTCCAATGAAAAGCAGGGGTGTCACTAGCATGTTAAGAGACAACACAATAAGTGTCAGGGGCCCGAGACTGTTCAACTGCCTCCCAGCATGCATAAGGAGGATTACCAATAGACCCCTGGTTGTCTTCAAGTTGGCACTGGACAAGCACCTAAAGTCGGTACCTGACCAGCTGGGCTGTGACTCGTTCGTTGGATTGTGTGCAGCCAGCAGTAACAGCCTGGTTGATTAGGCTCTGATCCACCATGAGGCCTGGTCACAGACCAGGCTGCGGGGGTGTTGACCCCTGAAACTCTCTCTAGGTAAACTCCAGGTAAACAGTAGAACAAGTTAATATAAATATGAGATGTTTGTATAGTTGGCTTACAGGAGTGAACTAAAAGCATATGCGTTCATCTGGTTTGTTTACATAACTCACGTCTGTCCTCTCTCATGTACTCATTCTCTCTCTCGTTTATTTGTTTAATCTTATTTACTCACCTCTCACCCTACATTAAGACTACAAATATTTTAACCCTTTGACTGTCGCGGCCGTATATATACGTCTTACGAGGTACCGTGTTTGACGTATATATACTCATAAATTCTAGCGGCTTCAAATCAAGCAGGAGAAAGCTGGTAGGCCCACATGTGAGAGAATGGGTCTGTGTGGTCAGTGTGCACCATATAAAAAAAATCCTGGAGCACGTAGTGCATAATGAGAAAAAAAAACTCCGACCGTTTTTTTTATTAAAATGCCGAATTTGTGGTCTATTTTCGTATAGTATTTATGGTTGTATTCTCGTTTTCTTGGTCTGATTTGATAGAATGGAAAACATATTATAGAAATAGAGGTGATTTCGATTGATTTTACTATAAAAAAAACCTAGAAATGGAGCTCAAAGTAGGGGAAATGTTTGATTTTTGCCAATGTTCAAAAGTAAACAAATGATGCCGTTGTCCAATAAATGTCCAATTAGCCATTCTAATATGCAGTCATGAATGGGTTAATGTTATTTATACAATTATTACAGTATTGCAGTAGTCTGCATAATAGTAAGTCTTCTATTTTTTGTTTGAATAAAAATTCAAAATAGAAAGCAAAAGTAATATCAGAGGGGCCTGGAGACATGACTGATGAGCAAAGAAAATGTTATTTTAGAGCCAGGAATGTCTGCATTATTCATTCTGGACCTTATTTTGAAATTGTCATATTTTGTAGTTTTCGTGAAATTGGCCAAATTGCAAATTTCTGACCACATTATTAGGTAGTTGAAATCGGTAAATGGGCAGTTTCTTGTGCTCAATCGATAGAAAAAATGGAGTTCTAAAGAAATAGCTATGAGTTTGGGCGACTGGAACAATGGAATTAGCCGAAAATAGGGCTCAAAGTGGGCGAAATCGCCGATTTGTAAACAGCGCTGAGGTCGCTAACTTCGTTAGAGCATAATTCCATCAGTTTTCCATCAAATTTCGTTTTTTTGGTGTCATTACAATCAGGAAAAGATTCTCTATCACTTCATAAGAAAAAATATTTTTTTTTTTTTTAAATTTTGCGACACCAGGAGACACCTCAGGATTGGGGGTTGCGACAGTCAAAGGGTTAAGGTAAGTAATGAGTGTACTGTATATGCATTTTATCGCTCTAGGGCACTTTAAATGCCTAGTATATAATGTGTGGGTGGGGTGGCCAGATGGGGTTACAATACCTACTACACTATTCGATACCTACCTACCCTACTATTCATTATTATTTTTTTTATTATCACACTGGCCGATTCCCACCAAGGCAGGGTGACACCATATATTAAGACTACAAATATTTTAAGGTAAGTAATGAGTGTACACTATATGCATTTTATCACTCTAGGGCTCTTTAAATGTTGAAGTATATTATGTGTGGGTGGGAGGGGTGGCCTGGCTGGCTACCATAACTACCACACCTAACTTCTTACAATAAACACTACTCACCCTACATTAAGCCTACAAATATTTTGAGGTAAGTAATGAGTGTACTTTGTGTGTATTTTACTTTTTATTGTTTTTTAATGCCTTGTTCTATTGCTAACTTAATATATATTAGTGTAAACTTATTATCTGACATTTATAAGTGGAAACAAATGGCATTTTGCTTTCTGGCAACGTCCGCTTTCCAGCAGTAACCTGGAACCTAACTTACTATATAAACGGGGCCCAACTGTACAATGCTGGCAGTAAATGAGTGCATATTTTCCTGCTATGATATCTTTCCTGGCTTGAGTGAAGCTTTGAGCACAGAAAAGTACAGTGGAACCTCTGTTATCGTATGCCCTGGTTTTCATAGGGTTCGGTTTTCAACGACTTTTTTCATCTAAATTTTGTTCCAGTTTTTGTCATTCGCTCGGTTTTCATAGAGTTGACAATGGTCCATACTAAATGCGTCTGCCTGCCCGCGCCCACACAAAGCATCCCACGCATTCTGACTTAGTCTGGCATTGTTTCTCATTAAGTGAACATTACCCCACACATTCGGATAACATTTCATAATAATCCATTGTTTTTTTGCTTGTTTATTGAGTGGGACTGTTAAATAAGTTACCATGGGGCCAAAGAAAGTTCCAATTGATAAAGAAGGTGAGAAATATGATAGAATTCAAGAAAGAACTCGTAGCAAAGTACGAAAGTGGTGTACGCGTGGCTGATCTTGCCAGGATGTATGGGAAGTCCGCATCAACGACCAATTCCATCCTGGCAAAGAAAAAAGAAATCAAGGAAGCTGATGTTGCAAAAGGGGTAAATGTGCTAATGAAACAGAGATCATAAATAATTGAAGATGTTGAGAAGTTGTTGTTGGTGTGGATCAATGAATAACAGTTAGCAGGAGATAGTGTTTTGATGGAAGAGTCGGTGAACGACCACAGGGAAGAGCTAACCACTGAACAGCTCAAAGGCCTTCAACTGGAACAGCTACAGACCACAGCTGAGGAAATTGCTTCAGAGGAGGAGGAGGAAGAGAGAGGGGAGAATGTGCCTTCTTCAGTAATTAAGGACATGTGTGCAAAGTGGAATGAGTTGCAAAGTTTTGTGGAGAAATATCAACCTAACAAAGCTGTTGCAAGTTATATCTGCAACATGTTCAGAGACAATACCTTGTCCCATTTTAGGCAAATCTTAAAGAGACGCCAGAAACAGACCTCTCTGGACAGATTTTTTGTGTGACAGGGGTCCAATGACTCTCAAGCTGGTCCTAGTGTCAGTAAAAGACAAAGAAGGGAAGTAACCCCAGATAGGGCCTTGATACCTGAAGTCCTTATGGAGGAGGATTCCCCTTCCAAACAGTAACCTCTCCTCCTCACTCTCCCTTCCTGGCCGTCTTCCATACACCAACAAGAATATTCAGTAAAGGTAAGAGTAATGTTAAACATTCATTTATCCATTTCATTAGTCATTTATATTTATTTCTCATTTTCTGTATGTAAAACTATAGTTATTCTCTATAAAATATATTTTTTATTAATATTTTTGGGTGTCTGGAAGAGATTAATCGCATTTACATTATGTCTTATGGGAAACACTGCTTCAATTTTCGTACAATTCGGTTTTCGTCAGACTTTCTGGAACGAATTAATCACAAAAACCGAGGTTCCACTGTATGTTAGATGTGATAAAACAAGTGATTTGAATAGTGATGGTATAACTCTTCTTATAATTTCTCTGTGATTACAAAATAAAATATGTTTCAGGTTGACAGTCCCTTCAATACCAAAACCCAAGAGGGTTTGCTTGTGCTCAGGACTTGAAGAACCATACCAAGAACTATCCTTCAATACTGAGGAATCAATCAAACATTTATCCATTCCACTTAATCTTTCACCATTCAAGATTGTCAGCGTACGGATCAGTTATGGTTAAAACTACAGTTTGGTTCAATAGAGTTTAAATTAATGGAACCTTTTGTATTCTTTATATGCCTTTTTCAGTTTACTGGTTATAATGTTGAGAACCATACTGTTAAAAGATCAACAAAATATATTCATTAAAACTTTGCATTTAAAGTATTGTTCACTGTATACAGTACACTATTTAAAAATAAAATAGGATTTTATTGGTCAGTAGCCCAAAAGTTCAAGATCACAGTTGATTCTTTTTCATACCATTCTCTTAGGGTGATATTTGATATAGTATATTGTGTTTACATTCACTGTTGTTATTATACCTTTATATATACAGTAAAGTATTTTTGTAATGTTAGTTTTGTATGTTGTACAAAAATTCTTATGTAGGATTCTGGGGGATCTCCTAATACCGATATGAGCTGATTGCTCAGTTGTGCCCAAAACTGCCTCGTTTTTTCATTCAGCAGTCGTTATTTTATTTAGCAGTGCAAAAGTTTGATGGATTCTATCACAGTTTACATCCAGACTATATGTCATTACCTTCCTCTTCAATCATGTTGAGCTATTTTATTGTTTCTCGTATGCTCGTCACTAGGACACCACTGGGGATATTTGATATTTGTATTTCATGTTTTACACATCTGTCCAAAAATGATGCCTACTGTCTGTCTGGTACGTCCTAGAGGATGGGCCCAGTACAGGCTTTTCCATTAGATAAATTATTACTCTGTCTCTTTGGTTTTCTGATGATGATCCCTGAATTAAGGTGTTAAGTAAGAATACATCTAGGGATGTTACCTGAGATTTCCAAGTATCCTTGCTTTTCAGCTTCTTCAATAGATTCTACAGTCTCTCTGCCTTTTCCTGAGCTCTTTCAGAGTCTTGCATTAGAAGTGCACTATGGTGACATCTTTACATCTATTCAAGTTTACAGATATTTTATGAGTGAACTTCAACATCTCCCAAGTCTCTGTGACATTTCCTCTTGCACCAGGATTTTGATGAAATATTCCTAATATTGGCAGTTTGGAGGGATATGTTGTGTATCTTTATACGTATATGCTTCTAAACTGTTGTATTCTGAGCACCTCTGCAAAAGCAGTGATAATGTGTGAGTGTGGTGAAAGTGTTGAATGATGATGAGAGTATTTTCTTTTTGGGGATTTTCTTTCTTTTTTTGGGTCACCCTGCCTCGGTGGGAGACGACCAACTTGTTGAAAAAAAAAAATTCCTAAGATGTCTTCTCCTATTTAAATCCTGCATTCTGACATTTCTGGCACTTCATGATCTGTCCATCCATTTGTTTCGCACCATCTGTACACTGGCTTTATCAAATTGACTTTGGCAACTTGGATTGACATTCATCCTATGCTCCAACAGGCTGGTTGTGTCCTGGTGTTCCAAACTGTAGAACCTAGCATCACTCTTCAACCCTATGCCCCCTTTCTGCTTTAGTAGAGGTGTTTCCATCTTATTACGTCTTCCAGTTTCCATCATAGTACAAATCACATATCAATCATATTCAGTCATACATTCGAAGGACATTTGTCAGACAGGTCTTGTCAAGTTCCCAGTTGTCACTTCTCTGCTTTGGTATGCCATTGTATCTTCATGGGTGAACATTCATTCATACATGGTGTTTGACAGCTTATAAATTACAAATAATCCCACGCAGAGGTTCTTAAATTGGAGGCAGCAGGCATAGTACTGAAGTAAAGATGTAATTAATCCATCAACCTTGGAGAACTAGTTTTTGTAATGGTCAGTCCCTCAGCCTGGAGAGGTGTTCAGCTCCATAGTCCGGAACAATGTAATGTTGAATAATAAGAATGGAGTCTTAAATACTGCCAAGGGTGAAGCGTAAGAGGTCTTGAAGACATTGCTTATCATGGACCAGTAGTCCCTCTTCAGTACTCCTCAAATTCTTACATTCTTCTACTAGTGGTCCCTGCCTCGTGCTATGTCATTCAGACCTACATGCTTTACCTTCAGCAGTATTTAAGATTAATGGACTGAATACATGAACTGATTGCTGAAGGGCTGATTACCTCAAACTGTTCCTTATCTTCTGCCATTCTTATCTGTATTGGACTGAAGAAGCCACTGGCTGGCTAAATGTTTCCTCAGTAAAGATTTCCAAAATTTGCACAGGTGTCTCTTCATACCCAACTGTTATATATGTGTCTTACCCTGCCATAATTTTCCTAATTTTCCAACTATACTACTTTTGCTTCCTTCTTTTAGTCATCTCAACCACTGCTACACTACAATTTCTATCTCTATTACTACTACTTCTACTAATGTTACTTCCATTTTCAGTACTGCTACTACTACTAATACTGCTACCAATATTACTTCTACTATTACTACTGCTACTGCTACAAATACCTCTACTTCCACTACCAGTACCTCTCCCCTCTTTCCCCACTCATTCTCATAAAAATTCTGGCCTTCCCTTCTCTTAATTGCAGGTTATGTATGTATTGTTCCTCTTCTATGTGTGGATTTTTGTGAATCATTATGTCACAGTAACTTTAGTGCCCAGCTGCGCATTGATATTGTGTAATATCGCATTGATATATTGTAATATTTCTGAAAATCAGTTACCACCGATGATCACCTTAGAGAGTCTCAGATTCACTTCTAACTATTCAGTCTCGCTGAAGGCCCTGTATGTTTTAAAATCAATATATGAAGGAAATGAATATGAATTAGTCTATAATGTGGTCAACCTGGCTATGATGACTACAATAACAGACTCATACCCAAAACACGAGAATTAAAGACCTTGAATATCATCTTACGACACAAAACTCAAAGATTAGTGAACTAGAAAACAAACTGACATCATTAATAAACTCGTCTAAAGAACAAGCAAACCTACATTCAACTATAGACACACATGCTAAACAAATAGATTCTCTCACCACCAAGCTGTCAGAAGCTACACAAGACTGGAAGTTAAACATGGAATCCCAGTGGAATGCATGCTTCCAGTACCAAAGGGATATGATTGAACAAGACAAGCTCCTAGGCTCTGTCATTTTAACCAGCTCTACCTTACCACCAGATACAAACAATGAGAATTGCACCATCAAAGCACTCCAAATAATAAAAGATGAGATAAAAGTTAACATTAAAACCAGTGATATCAAGGAGGCCCAACTGCTAGGCAAGTCGGGCCAACAACAAAGTGTTAGGTTAAAATTCAATTCCATTGATGTAAAAAATGATCTAATAAGTTCCTCCATCAAGAAACTGAGTAATGTGTATATCTGTGTCTAACTAAAAAACGTCAGAACCTATTATACAGACTTTGAAAACTTAAGCATGATAATGCATCAATAAAACAGTGCTTTACTCGTGATGGCATTATCGTGGTAAAATTATCAGACACGGGTCGTAGGTTTGAAATAACAAATGATCAAGAACTAGCATGTTTCCTCTCATTCACTGGTTTGACTGAATCTTGTTAAGCCATATCTCAACACATTATCAACCATGTTCAGTGCTGTAGTTTAGTAGAATTTACCCTAATTCTAATCCATATTTTCATGACTTAGTGAATAATGGTAATTAATTCCCAGCTACTTAATACACCTAAGGCACTATTCAAGGTGCTAATCCAGGTACTTAAGTGTTTTATTCTCTGTCTTATTTTATACTTGAAACCATAACTTTTAACTTTGAAATAATCAAGGTACTAAAGTGTTTTATTTTAATTTTCAGTAGCTCCATTATTTTTTAGATTCAAATTAACTATCTTAGTTCATAATTGTTAGTGGTTTAACATCACTGCTTTGGTCTTTTTGTTCTTTAATAATTGTAACGGCTATTTCTCTACATACCCCTTACATACATACCTCTTATTGAACAGCACACATAGTCCAAACAGTAATTGCCATTACTACACTGTAGTCAGGCTAATACCCTTCTCAGTGTCAGCAAGAACATTACAGTCTTCAACTACAATGTTAGATCATTGAGTAAACACTATGATGACCTTATTGCACTACTTAAGTCTCTAAATGCTACTATAACTTTCATTATACTTACTGAAACCTGGCTCAGACAAGATCTGACAGACATATTTACCATACCTGGTTACACAGCCATACATAACTGTAGGCCCGACCAATCAGGAGGAGGCACTGCCATCTGTTACTCTGATGAACTAGAATGTGTGAAATCAATTAATGTATGAGACGAAAACGGTGAATATATAATAGCTAATTTCACATTAAGGACACTTAAGAAACCTAGAGCAGTTGATGCAGACTACCACACTCAAACACTTACACCTTTAGCAATAACCTTAGAAACATGATAATTGAGTCAGAGTTGAATAAACACCATCTGATAATAGCAGGAGATTTCAACATCAACCTTATCCAAGCAACCGACCCTCCAGTAGTTGATTTCACAAATGCTATGAACAACAGCTTACTGCTACCCACTATAACAAAGCCAACAAGAATCTCTGACACTAGTGCCTCGTTACTCAACCATATCTGGATGAACATAATATCCTCACTACAAGCAGGTATAATCACAGATAACACCACAGGCCACTATCCTACCTTTCTCATAACCAACTTATCTAAACTGCCTCAAAAAAGAAGAAAGATCTCATTTCGCCTGCATGATGAGACATCGATAAACAACCTAAAACTAGCTCTAGGTGCCATTGATTGGCAGAGAGAGCTAGATGACAGTAATAACATCAATAAAGATATCAAACATTTTTTACATAAAACCCTAAACCTCTACAGCAAACATTGCCCAATCAAAATGAAACAGATCACAGAAAAGAGGCTAAACAGCCCATGGCTAACTAAAAGTATCCTCAAATCTATTAATAAAAAACACCAAATTGAAAACCAGTTCAGATTAGACTTAATTACTAAAGAATTTACTAAAAGACACACAATAATACTAACAAAACTAATACATAAATCAAAGCAAATGTATTATGAAAATAGATTTAGTGAAATGAAAGGTGACATGAAAAGTACCTGGTAAACCCTCTCCAAAATTCTGGGCTCAAGGAAACCGACTGGAAATAGAGATAGACTTAACTAAACCAGATGAACCTCACATGCAACCTATAGACATGGCCAACAAATTTAATGTCTTCTTCTCTACTGTAGGATCAAAGCTAGCAAGTCAAATTCCTAGCTCAAATACTCGTCTGAGCGAATAACTCACTGGCAACTATCTAAATACTCTATTTCTAGCTCTAACTAATCCCACTGAAGTCTCACTCATCATTAAATCATTAAGAAACAAATCAGGTAATCTAGGTAACTTGTCACCATTCATATATAAAAAAGCTGCACCAGATATGTTGCCCATTATTGCAACAATGTTTAACAAATCTATAGCTTCCTCAACCTTCCCATCCATACTCAAGACAGCAAGGGTCACCCCGATCCACAAAGGTGGAGATCCAACTGATTTGAACAATTACAGACCCATATCAAACTTGCCCTTACTATCCAAGATATTTGAAAAAATAATACACAAGCGACTTTACTCCTACCTTACACCCAACAATATACTTAACCCATGCCAGTTTGGATTTAGACCAAAAAAAAAGCATGAATGATACTATTATACAAATGCTTGACCTAATATACACAGCTCTCGATAAGAATGAATATCCCCTGGGGCTCTTTATCGACCTAAGAAAAGCGTTTGACACAGTTGACCATAATCTCTTGCACCTCAAACTGAATCATTACGGCATAAGAGGACATTCTCTTGAATACTTAAAATTCTATTTTAACAGCAGACACCAGTATGTACATGCAAATGGAGTCAACTCCGCTATCCAACCTGTAGCTGTAGGAGTACCCCAAGGCAGTGTCCTAGGCCCACTCCTCTTTCTCATCTACATCAATGATCTCCCCAGTGCATCCTAACTCCTTACACCAGTTCTGTTTGCAGATGACACTACTTATGTCTACTCCCATTCAGACCCAGCTGTGCTTGAAAACACTGTAAACAATGAACTGCTAAAGATATATGCTTGGGTGATGACCAACAAACTCACACTCAACGTAGACAAAACTTACTTCATGCTTTTTGACAACAGAGCCTCAAATATTCAACACAACATACTGTTAAATAGTTCCCCTATATCAAGACACATGGAGGGCAAATTTCTAGGTCTTCTCCTTAACTGTAATCTTAAATTTCAGTCCCATACCCATCACATAGCAAAGAAAATTTCCAAATCAGTAAGAATCCTTTCCGAGATACGCTACTATGTACCACAAACGACTCTCCTTACCCTGTACCACTCTCTAGTATATCCTTACCTCACCTATAATATCTGTGCCTGGGGCTTAACCACAGCCAACCACCTTAGACCCTTAATAATCCAACATAAAGCTGCTGTGCGGGGTAATAACCAGCTCCTGCGCTAGACAGCACACACCACCACTTTTTCAAAAGACTCAACTTGCTAAATATACAAGACACACTCTTATTATTGTGCCTACTACATATACAGTGGACCCCCGGTTAACGATATTTTCTCACTCCAGAAGTATGTTCAGGTGCCAGTACTGACCGAATTTGTTCCCATAAGAAATATTGTGAAGTAGATTAGTCCATTTCAGACCCCCAAACATACACGTACAAACGCACTTACATAAATACACTTACATAATTGGTCGCATTCGGAGGTAATCGTTATGCGGGGGTCCACTGTACAGAACTTTCAACTCCACTGTAAACCCTCCCCTAAAACTACTCCTCGACAGTTACAACAGAATGCACAGTCACAATACAAGGCATAAGGCCCTTTTCAACATCCCTCGAGTAAGGCTCTCACTATGCAAGAGCGCTATGCACATAAAAGGCCCAAAGATCTGGAACTCGCTACCGGAACAGGTCAAGGATCCAGAGACAACTTATAAATTTAGGACTCTGCTAAAAAATCATCTTATCTCACAATATTAACCAATTCAACCAAACATCTACTGACTAGTTTTATCATGTGACCTCCTGGCTTTTAATACTGCCATTCCATAGAATATTACCACCTGCACCATTCCTTGTAAATTAGATTTTGTACTAAGTATACATAAGATTTATTAAGTCCAAATAAGATTGTAAAACAGCTAACCACTATTCTAT